GCGACCTTGGAGCTCCACACAGTCGAATACAGGGGTCTGGATGACAGCCTTCGGGATTGCAGTGATTCTCCTTGGCTTACTTAAGTACCATCCTGTATTACATGTTTGCATATTCTCTTCCATCGACCATCGCTCTCATAGAGGCATTCTCTCATCTATCATAAAGGGACTTCAAGACTTTTGTTCTGGCGGTATTTAGGGATGCCATTTTGAGGTATTGAGTGTTCGGTTTTACGCACAGTGCAAGTCGGAATGCCCTCCGATTCATCAAATTGCTCTGTGGTCAATACCCCAAATTTCCAAGAGCATACCTGCCAACTTCAACACGATTGACGTGCCTATGTTGTCAGATAGCGCAAAAGCCTTTTCCCAATGACCTCGGGAAACATAAAGACAATGAAGGACACCACGATATGAACTGGGGCCTTGGATAGCCCCGCACATCGGCCAAATGCTCGGGGTTAAAAAGCTGGAGAGTTTCTGGGGCCCCGCGTGACCAAACAGCACTCCATACTGTGTACAATACCTTTCTGTGTACCTCTGTAACCGCACAAATCACTGAGGAGAACTGCAACTGTTCACGTCGTTCATCCCATGTTTCTGTCCTCAGTCTTGTGATTCTCGCTTGTGCTCCCGGGGGTTCATTGTCTGTTTTGCTCTTGCTTGAGGTTTAAAAATCACTCCACAGCTTCACCTCTATCACAGCCAGACTGGGTTTGTCGACAACTTCCATAAACTCATCGTGAAACAAACGCAGTGCCTATCCTGATAAACAAACTACCCAAAACAGCCAGTGACCCCGGAGTAAACTCCACCGAACCCCATCTTGCAACTCCATCCGAGCTCAATTACCCGCTCCCCTGGTCGTTGCAGAAGGCCCTGTAAGTGACGGCAGTGCGGGGCAGCTCGTACCTGGAAACCGCGGGGCAATTGACTACTCCAACCTTGAGCTCCCTTTTCATCACCTTCCCCTTCTCACCTTCTTCCTCTCCCATATTCCAACCCATTTCCCGCACTATTTCTCTCTCTCTCTCTCTCTCTTCTTTACTTGTTCTCACTTGGCTGGTCCAATTCCCACGATACCCCCAAAACCACAAGAATCAACATCACAATGTCCGGCCCCGTCCCCATCGCCAACTCGCTCGAGGACATCTACACGCCCGATGCCCTCTCCACGCAAACAAAAAGGTGGAACAACCTCCTCTCCAAGTTCGAGTCTACCTACGGCCACCAGCCCGAGTTTGTCTCTCGCTCCCCCGGCCGAGTGAACATCATCGGCGAGCACATCGACTACTCTCTGTATTCGGTTCTTCCCATGGCCATCACCGCCGACACCATCATCGCCGTTTCCACACATCTACCAGCTCCCAAAGAGGGCACCTTCAGGATCCAGATCGCCAACGTGCAGGATTCCAAGTTCAAGGCGCGCGAGTTCAACATACCGTATGACTCGGTCGACATCGACTCTACCGTTCACGAATGGACCAACTACTTCAAGTCGGGCCTGCGCGGTGCTCTGGAGCTGTTGCGCAAGAAGGATGGCGCGGACTTCAAGCCCAAGAGCATGCAGATTCTCATGGACGGAACCGTCCCTGCTGGCGGAGGACTCAGTTCGAGCGCGGCCTTTGTCACGGCTAGTGCTTTGGCTGTCATGGCGGCCAATGGCGAGCAGACGGTTGACAAGAAGGAGTTGACGGAGCTGGCTATTGTCAGTGAGAGAGCCGTTGGTGTGAACTCTGGAGGGTATGATGTATCTCAGAAGTCACATAAGCACAGGATCAAACTAACAATATCATCACCAGAATGGACCAATCCGCCTCCGTCTTCTCCGAGCGCGGTTCCGCCCTCTTCGTCTCCTTCACCCCGACCCTCCTCGCCCGCCCCGTCTCCTTCCCGCCCACTTCCCCCGAGCTCACCTTCCTAATCGCCCAATCCTTCGTCACAGCCGACAAGTTCGTTACGGGCCCAATCCACTACAACCTCCGCGTAGTCGAGTGCACTCTCGCAGCCGCCTACCTCAACGCCGTGCTCAACCCACCCGGCACTCTTTTGCCCGGCGACGCCTCTCCCCTAGGAATCTCCCTCCACGGCTTCCACGAGACTTACTTCGCCCTTGCCGAGCACGACAACAATAACTCCCAACCCCCCAAATCCGTTTCTGAACAACTAGAACACCTCCTCCAACTAACCCAGCAAACCTTGACAAAAGAACAAGGCTACACCCGCACCGAAATCGCCTCCGTCCTCGGCCTCTCGTCCGAGGACGAGTTCAACGCAAAATTCACCTCCCGCTTCCCCGTGTGCGCCGAGCGCTTCAAGCTGCGCCAGCGCGCCATGCACGTCTTCAGCGAAGCGCTGCGGGTGCTCAAGTTCATGGACCTTCTCGAGAAGAGCTCTTCCTTATCAGCAGCAACCTCGGAGGAGAAAACGGGAGATGAATTCAACAGCCAGCTGGGCGCCCTGCTCAACGAGACGCAGGATTCGTGCCGGGACACGTACGAGTGCTCGTGCGAGGAGATTGATCGGATTTGCGAGATTGCGCGCAAGGCGGGCAGCTACGGGAGTCGGTTGACGGGCGCGGGATGGGGTGGGTGTAGCGTGCATTTGGTGCCGGCGGGTAAGGTGGATGCTGTCAAGGAGGCGTTGGAGAAGGAGTATTATAGTAAGCTGGAGTTGAGCGAGGAGCAGAGGGAGGGGGCGGTGGTGGTTAGTAAGCCGGGGATTGGAAGTGTGCTTTATTTGGGTGGGAAGGGGGTTAGCTTGATCGATGGTAAATAGGGGTTTTGTTTACTTTGAAGCCCATGGTTGCCCCTGAATCAAAGCATGATAGGGCAATAATGACACAGTTCAAGATACACTGGTTGTGGGATGAACTGTGGGAAGACGTGTTCTGCACACAGTCAATCTTAATATAGACTAATCGCTGAACTTGTTCCTTTACAGCCATAAACAATACCTATCATGGGTTGTCTACCCATACCGTCCTAAAATAGACTCACCGAAAACGCTATGTGAATCCCCCATCATCAAATTCCCCATCATGGGGGACAAAAATGAAAAAAAAAATGAAAAAAATGAGAAGAAACTAATATAAGAGAACATAACTCCCAGAAACCCATAAAAATGCACCACCAGGCGTTTAATGGCCGACCTTATCCGCTGCTGCCCAGTTCCAATAGCCGAACCCGACCCAATCCTCGCTGGGTCTACCTATAACACATCACACCCAGCGCAACTATTCTTTCAGATGATGGTTAAGGCTTCCCAAAAATAGGCCAAAAGCAGCCCCGCCGGCAGACGCGTTAGAAGACTGGCAAGGTGCTACTGATTACCAGCGCCAGCGCCAGCGTCAGCAGCCCTTCCTCTAGAAGAAAACCCTCCTCCACGGTCTCCCCGGTCTCCCCCTTCCCTCCTCTGACAATCCTGCGACCCTTCATAACTTGCACATTCCTGTACTTGGCATACAGCTCAAACACGTCCCTTATGACGACGAACAGACAGCCGCCCGCCAGACTGCGTCCCCATCTCTGCTGCAACAGGCCACCGGGCCCTTGCGACAGAATCGTTCCCCTCTTGAAGAAACCGGATGTGACGATGGGCTTGGGTGGCGAGGTCCACGATTTGGGTAGTGCGAGGCGGATAAGCTCGCCCATGCCGTACGAGATGAAGGGGAAGAGGAGAGACGTGACGACGTTGTTGACGATATCTGTGAGGGAGAAAGGGGGGAGTTCCACGCCGTCTCTGTCTCTGTCGTTGTTGTTGTTCCTTTCCCGTCGTGCACGTGCTGCAGGCTGTGGAGGAGGAGCTGCGGCCGGAGCCGGAGCTGGTTCTGGCACCGTTGGGGTTGGAGGGCGGGCTTCGGCTTCGGCTTCTGCTGGCCATGGAACTTCTCGGACCTGACCTATTGCTTCTTCGAGATGACCGGCAATCTCCTCATTATATTGGGTGTATGGCGCCTCCGGGGCATCAACCTGAAGGAAACTATCCTCTAGTTGGCGGTCGGCGGCATCGTTATCGCTGTCGGCATTAGCGCCGATTTCGATGCGGACATCAAGTTCTGCTCCGCCATCATCGGGGGTGTTGCTGAGAATAATCCAAGCAGTACGGCCTAGGTCTAGGAGGTCGGACAAGATAAAGCGGCTTTCACGGTCCCGGTTTTCATTGTCGTGGTTGTTTTCGGACTCGGTAGCGCCGGCGGCACCATCGGTGGGCTGAGTCAAGTTGTTTTCAAGACCCCGTAGAGCCCGGTTGAGGCGTCTGTCGATCGGCCTCAGCCAGTAATTGTAGAGTCTGTTATAGGTCATGTGTACATAAGGCATCATAACCATGGCCCACGTCGGAGAGGGTGGCCATGTCGGGTGATCGTCCTGGGCTATGAGTAGTATGCCGTACTGTTGATCTCAAGTCAGCAATGACCATAGAGATTAGGATGGGGAAAAGGGTTGGCATACCATGGCGGAAAATGGCACAAAGAAGAAGTTGGCCAGAAAGGGCACTGCTCGGCTGAGGATGACAGCCGGAGCGATGGAAGACATGGTCCACAGCCTCATCATCATCCTTCCCACCTGTGCACTTCTAGCCCCGGATACGGAAATAGCCTGGCCAGGAATAACTTGGAGGCCTACCCACCTGAGGGCCGTCTCGTAGCCGGCAAAGGAGGAGGCAGCGATGACACCGTAGGTAGCAGAGCTGGCAAAGGTACCGCTAGCCACCATTGACGCGAGTATAATGGGCGAGACCTGGCTGAACTTTCGGTGTATGGTCCTCCGCAGAGCGACGACATAGTCAAATGGTTCCTCAACCTTGAAGGGGGCCTTGCATTGCGGACAGCTCACGCCGTCCCTGTTGTTTTTCTCGTTGTGGTTCTCCTCGTACCATCGTAGAAGGCATGTCTCGTGAACTGGGAAACTGCATGTACAAGGTCGGACGACCGGTTCGGTAGTGCGCTCGCCCTCATCCTCGAAGCAAATGCAGCATCGCTTGAAGGTGTTTGTGTCGGAACGTGTGAGGGGGTTCGGTACGGGGGCCGAAGCGGCTTGTGAGCCGGTGTCTGGCGTCGCCATCGTCAAGTATTTCGGTGTGTGGGATGAAGCGGTTGCCGCTACCGGTAAGCAAAATAGATGCCGTGAATGGGTAGTATATATATATGGGTATCGTGACGACGGATAGAATAGGGTTCAATCGACGGCGGGAAACCGTAACAAGCTGTGGTTCAAGTCAGCAAAGCGCCGTGGCTCCACATGGACGGGGGACCCGAGGACGAGATATATACCTCTTGGAATAGTTTCAGGGAGCAAAGACGCCTCCTTCTTCCTGAAGAGTTATGAAGATGGTGTAAGTAGGTAGGTGCAGTAACCGCAACCGCGACCGCGACTGCATTTGACGGAGCACATGCGTGACATCAGCGAGGCTCCACCCAACGGGACTGATTACATATCGTGACCCCAAGGGTTCGGGTTTCGGTTGGGGAGCTGTACAGTTAAACATGCTATATGGTAATTTACTGTAGAGCGTCAAGCTAGGCGCCGGACCCCGCAGTTACCCCCATTTGGGTGCTGTGTGGGCAACTGGGCCGTGACTGTCCCATCCAATTCTAGAAGCGTCCCGCGGTTGCAGGGGCAGCCCCTCAGCGCCCGCCGTGTCCCCTCCATACGAGTGTGCTGTATGGTACAGACCACCCGCCCGCATCCATCTTTCTTGTCAGGTCACATCTCTATCCCAAGACTCGAGCTTCACGACTTTCTCTCTTTTTTAGATACCTCCAGATCGACACCACTCACATTCAAAATGGTATGCCACATCCTGTCGTCTCCCTCTGCCCACCCCGTTCGTTCTCTTGAACAAAATGCTGACACTTGCGACTTAACAGACGACATCAAAGCAGCGCCTCGCGCTCGCCATCTGCGACTTCCTCAACACCTCCCTGACCGACGGCACCCTCCAGGCCGACGACAAGGACAACGTCGACATCGCCGTCAACTGCATCGGCGAGGCCTTCGGCGTCGACCCCTCGGACAAGGCCGCTGTGACCGAGGCCATCGGCTCCCAGAACCTGCTCCAGATCTACTCCGTCTACGAGAAGCTCAAGGCCAACAAGCCCGCCGCTGCCGCCGCCTCTTCCTCTTCATCTTCCACCTCCGCCCCTGCGGCCAGCACCTCTAGCAATGGCCCCACAGAAGAAGACAAGAAGCAAGCCGAATCCCTCAAATCAAAGGGCAACGCCGCCATGGCCCAGAAGGACTATCCCACCGCCATCGACTTCTACACCAAAGCGCTCGCCTTGAACCCCGGCAACGCCGTCTACCTGTCCAACCGCGCGGCCGCCCACTCCGCGGCGCGCGACCACGAGTCCGCTCGCGCCGACGCCGAGGCCGCTGTTGCTATCGACCCCAAGTACACCAAGGCGTGGAGCCGTCTCGGTCTGGCGCGCTTCGCGCTCGGCGACGCCAAGGGCGCCATGGAGGCTTACCAGAGGGGTATTGAGCACGAGGGTAACGGCGGCAGCGAGGCGATGAAGAAGGGCTTCGAGACTGCCAAGAGGCGAGTGGAGGAGTTGGAGGCTCAGGATGATGCGCCTGCTGCGTCTCGTGGCGCTGGTGGTGCCGGTGGTGGTATGCCTGACTTGAGCAGCTTGGCTGGTATGTTCGGTGGTGGTGCTGGCCGCGGTGGGGGCGCTGGTGCTGGCGGTGGCGGTGGTGGCATGCCCGATCTTAGCTCCATTATGGGCAACCCCATGTTTGCTCAGATGGCCCAGAACCTGATGAGCAACCCTGATATGATGGCCAACCTTATGAGCAACCCCCGTCTCAGGGATATGGCGAACCAGTTCCAGGGCGGCGGCGGTCTCCCTGATATCTCTTCACTCATGAACGATCCCAACGTTGCCGACTTGTGAGTCTACCCTTTTACCCTCTAGGTGAAGAAGTACGAAAATACTAACGAGATTGATAGGGCGCGCTCGTTCATGGGTGGTGGTGGTGCTGGCGCTGGCGGTGCCGGTGGTGCTGGTGGCGCTGGTGGCGCTGGTGGAAGGTAATGGGCAAAGGGAACTGTTGATGGATGATTTACGATTCTTACGGTATTCTTTTACCCGCTTAGTTCAGGTATAATCAAAAACAAGTTTGCATAACACGGCTTTAAGAGGCAGCTGCTGGTGACAAGACTGGACTTATGGCATGCTCATACCAGCTGTGAACACTTCTACATCGGACCAATGAGGCACCAAGTTCACAAGCGACCCAGAGCGTTCGTTGACCGCGATAGTGAAATTCGAGTAAGGAGATAATAATTGACGAGTCCTTCCAGACTACGAACCACTATTTTTGGTATTTTGACTACCACCCATATATACAATTTCTAACTAGACACTAAACAATCCCTTTTTTTCCCTGCCCGCCCAGCATCTACCATAGTAGGATGAAACCCTCCGTCATACTCCGCAATCCGCAAAATGTTGAATCTCCCTTCCCAACCCTGATTACCCTATTTTCTTGTAACTTTCATTTGATCATATCTGTTTACGTTTTTTATCCGTGTGTACCTGTTCTCTCGTCTCATCTGTTCTTCATCATCTCATAAAATCATTGCTCAACCAACCCAGCGTCTGGCGCTCCTGAACATCCTCAACCAAGGACCGAACTCGCTCCACTGAGCAAGCTGATCTTCAGGAGCATAGCTCGTCACGTCAGCCATAATGGTTCTTTCGGGGTGAGGCATCATGGCCAGAACACGGCCGTCCTTGCTGGCCACACCGGCAATACCCGCCGGGCTGCCGTTGGGGTTGAAGGGGTACTCCTCCGTGACGTTCAGGCGGTTATCGACGTAGCGAATGGGAATGCCGTTCTGCTCGGTAAGAGCCTGGAAGTCAGCCTGCGAGTCAAACTCGGCGCGGCCTTCGCCGTGGGAGACGACGATGGGGAGGCTGGAGCCGCCCATGCCGTTGAAGAAGACCGAGTTCTTGCTGGCCTCGCCCTCCTCGATCTTGACCATGCTGTAGCGGGCCTCGAACTGGGCCGAAGCGTTCTGCACGAACGTGGGGAAGTGCTCGGCGCCGGGGATCAGCGACCTCAGACGGGAAAGCATCTGGCAGCCGTTGCAGACGCCCAAGCTGAAGGTGTCCTTGCGGTTGAAGAAGGCCACGAGCTCGGCGCGGGCCTTCTCGTGCAGCAGGATGGACTTGGCCCAACCCTGACCGGCACCAAGGACGTCACCGTAGGAGAAACCACCGCAGGCGGCAAGACCAACGAAGTCGGCGAGAGAGCGACCGTTGATGATGTCAGTCATGTGCACGTCCACGGCATCGAAGCCAGCGGCGCGGAAGGCGAAGGCCATCTCGGCGTAGCCGTTGACGCCCTGCTCTCTGAGAATGGCGACGCGAGGCATCTTGCCGAAGAAACCAGTGATGGAGGCAGTGAAGGGAACGATGTTCTCGGCAGGAGAATATGTAAGGGTGTAGGAGAGACCAGGGTCTTGAGAGTCAAGGAGAGCAGCGTACTCAGAGTCGGCGCAGGCCGGGGTGTCTCTCAGCTTCTGCATCTCGTACGAGGTCTTGCTCCACCACTGCTGCATCTCAGCCCGGTCAAGGGTGACGAAGGGTTTGCCCTCGCCGTAGCGAATGGCGAGTGTCTGCTTGGCAGTGGGCAGAACGACACCAATCTTGCGGATCAGGCCAGCAGGAGGACCGCAAGTGGCGAAGCAGCGCTTGAAGTTGGTCTCATCCTCGGCACGAACCTGGAAGACGGCACCAAGCTCCTCGTTGAAGAGCGCATCGGTGAGATCGGCCAAGCTTCCGGACTTGGAGACACCATCCAAGGTCAAGTCGACGCCGCAGCGACCGGCGAACATCATTTCGGCGACAGTGGTAATCAAGCCACCATCGGACCTGTCATGGTAGGCAAGGACAACGCCGCTCTCATGGAGCTGAGAAAGAGCATCAAAGTAGTCCTTGAGTAGATCCACATCGCGGACATCAGGCGCCTCATGGCCGATGGCGCCGAAGGACTGGGCAAGAGCAGAGCCGCCCAGAGCCTTGAAGCCCTTGGCCAAGTCAACGAACAGTAGAACGGTCTCGCCAACTTCCTCCACGCGGCGAAGCTGGGGAGTCCATGTCCTGCGAACATCCTCAACAGTGGTGAAGGCAGAAATGACGACGGAAACAGGAGCAGTGACGCTCTTCTTGACCTCGCCATCCTTCCAGGAAGCCTTCATGGAAGTGGAGTCCTTACCAACAGGGATGCTGATGCCGAGCTCAGGGCACATCTCCATACCAATGGCCTCGACAGCCTCGTAGAGAGCGGCACCCTCACCGGGGTGGTTCACAGCGGCCATCCAGTTGGCAGAGAGCTTGACGCGCCTGAGATCGCCACGCTGGGATCCGCCCTTGATGTCGGCAGCACCGAGGTTCAACAAACTTTCGGCAACCGCCATTCTGGCAGAAGCAGCTGGGGAAATGAGAGCAAGAGTAGGCTTCTCGCCCATGGCCATGGCCTCGCCACCCTTGACGCCATTAAGGCCAAACGACGAGAGGGTGACAGCAACATCGGCAACAGGAACCTGCCAAGGACCAACCATCTGATCACGCACGGTAAGACCACCGACTGTACGGTCACCGATGGTAATCAGGAAGGACTTGGAGCCAACAGATGGGAGCCAGAAGACACGCTGAACGGCCTGTCGGAGAAGGTCCTCGTCGCTGGTAGAGTCGCCAAACGCCTCCTTGAGGCTGGCAACAGGGTTGAAAGCAGGCCACTGGGGCTTCTTGGAGCTGACAATGCGCTCGAGCTTACGCCCCTTTGGGAAAAGAACATTCATAGGAACATCAATAGGACGGGGGTACTCGTTGGACTGGTTGTCGCTCAAAATAAGCTTGGAAACACCATCAGCCTCCTTGGAAATGACAGTTCCGACGTCAGAGAAGCCACAACGTTCTCGCCCTGTTATATGTTGTCAGAATTGCCAGATACAGATGACTCGGGGAATCAGTGTGGACTTACGGCAAATGTTCGTGAAACGCTCCATGCCATCGGGGTTGACGAGCAAGACATAACGCTCCTGAGCCTCGTTACACCAGATCTGAAGAGGGCTCATGCTCTTGTCGACGCACTCAACCTCGCGCAGCTCAAATCTGCCACCGAAGCCAGCATCCTGCACAAGCTCGGGCAGGGCATTCGAGAGACCACCAGCACCCACATCGTGGATCATGGCAATAGGGTTCTGGATGCCAAGGGCAACGCATGTGTTGATGACCATCTGGGCGCGCCTCTCCATTTCAGGATTACCGCGCTGAACACTGTCGAAATCAAGATCAGCGTTACCCTCGCCAGAGTCATTGCTCGAAGCGGCACCACCACCCAAACCAATGAGCATAGCGGGGCCACCAAGAACAATGACGTGGGCGCCCTCCTGAACGTCGGATGGGTTCTTGAGAGCATGCTTCTCCCTGACGGTACCAACACCACCAGCAATCATGATGGGCTTGTGGTAACCGCGGAACTCACCCTCCGCCTTGTTGTCATCGGCGGTAAGGAGAGTGCGGAAGGTACCAGTAAGGCAGGGACGGCCGAACTCGTTGTTGAAGCGGGCGCTACCAATGGGAGCTTCCAGCATAATATCCAAAGCGCTGGCATAGTGGGCCGGGCGGCCGACGTCGATCTCCCAAGGGGCAGTGTGATCGGGGATGTGCAGGTCAGAGACCCAGAAGCCGCAAAGACCAGCCTTGGGCATGGAGCCTCTGCCAACGGCACCCTCGTCACGGATCTCACCACCCGAACCAGTGGCGGCACCGGGGAAGGGAGCGATAGCAGTGGGGTGGTTGTGTGTTTCGACCTTGGCCAGGACGTGAATCAATTCCTTGTTCAACTTCCACGAGCCAGTCGAGTAATCGGGGGACCAGAAGTTGACGTGGTCACCCTCCATGACGGCAGCATTGTCGCTGTAAGCCGAGACAGTGAAGTCGGGGGTGACCTTGTGGGTGTTTCTGATCATCTCGAAGAGGCTCTTGCCCTTGGAGAAGCCATCAATGGTCCAGTTGGCATTAAACTGCTTGTGACGGCAGTGCTCAGAGTTGACCTGAGCAAACATGAAGAGCTCAACATCGTGAGGGGGGCGACCGAGCTGGGAGAACTTCTCGACCAGGTACTCGATCTCGGACTGGTCAAGCGCCAAGCCACACTCTTTGTTGTATTCTTGGAGGACCTGGATGGGGTCCTTGCCGGGGGCGAAGATGTCGACGACTTCCAGAGTCTGGGGCTGGCCCTCGGCAAACATGGAGACCAGGTCGGGGGCGTCGGCCGAGAAGGTCTCGGTCATGCGGTCGTGCAGAACATCGCGGAAGGTGATGTTCTTGTCGTTGAAGGGCTGCTCAAACTCGATGTGGATGAGACGGCCACGCTCAATGCGATGGATCTCCTTCTCGTAGCCACAGACCTGGGCAATGCTGGTGGCCTTGGAGCTCCATGGCGAGAGGTAGCGAGGAGTCACATACCACTTGCGCCCGTAGCCAATGTGTGTAAGATGGGGGGCGGCCTGGTCGGCAGAGAGAGGAAGAAGCTGGGCGAGCTTCTGCTGGGCGGAATTGGCATCGCCAGCGATGTGCGCATAATAGACCCAGACGCCCGAGACAGACGAGACCTTGATGGGGGCGGTCTTGTTGATCTGCTCCTTCAGCTTGACGGCCTCGGAGGCCGTGTAGCAGGAGCTGCCCGTAAGAGTAAGGAACTCCATTGTTGGATGGAGGGGGAGGCGCAAAGGCGCAAAATACCCAAGGAGGTATGTAGGTAGGTATATGGGTTGATGAGGTTGGTGAGGTTGTTGTTTTGGATTGGCACACAGCCAAACGCTTCTCCAAAGGAGGAGAGATGCGTTCGGGAGGAAGAGATCTTCTCCAAAGAGAGTCTGAGAGGCGAGAGTCACGGTACGATGCCCAGGCGGGGTGATAAGATAAGGAAGCAATGGGAGTCACACTCACACCATTCACTGGACTCCGCTGAAAGGTCGCTGGAGTCGTGCGGGATGCCACTGAGATGGAGTCTGCGATGGTGTACTAACCTTGTCCAAAATTTTAGGTGGGGTTGTTTTACCCGAATTCCATGTTGCTGATTGGCTAGCCCGCGTTAAGCGAAGTGTCCCCGTCCGGTCCAGCGCCCCGTTACACCCTTGTTCGGGGCCGCTTCCGGTCCACCGCCCTCCGCTGATCGGCGAATCTGGCCGGCCCATCCACGCCTCAAGGCATCGGACCTGCGCGTTTCATTTCGGTTGACGGGGACGATGCCCTCCGTTGTTAACCGCACCGCCCAGCCTCCGGACCGGACATGTGATGATCTCGCCTGGCCCAGTACGGCTTCATCTGCCAAGCGCCCATTGTTCCTCTCAAGCTTATCGTCAGCCTCGAACAACGAGTTCTGTTCCGCCCGTTCAGCTTTGCAGAAACACGGATGACGTCACTCGTGTCAATGTAGGTCTTGAGACCAGCACAGTCAATCATAGAGGTTCAGACGGGCTTCTTTGAGGCTGTAGGACAACGATGATCATATGGGCCTCGTGTTGTTCGTAAAACGCAAGCGCCAATTTCGGGTAGGTACCTTATTTACACATTGAGTTGTATTTCGGTCAACCGAGTTGCACTAGCGTATCTGTAGCGAGCTGGTTTAGGGAATATCTCATATACGATCCTAACCCTCTCCCTGATCGCAGGCCTCTCTCTCTTCGAAAGACTGCCCTAACTTCGGATCAAGTTCGTGTTCTTCCTATCGAAGCACATATGTATGACTGCACGCCAATCTGTATTGACCCCTGCAGCTCGAGAAATACATGCCGTGTAAACGTCGAGTCTACTTACCAGCTGAACCGAGGGTTAATAGTGTCGAGTGTGTCTACGCACTGTACCCCGACAGCTGGGAGAATGGGCCGCCAGGCTTTTGACCCTGACAGAACACGGTAACTTTTGGCTTCAATGGAAAGAACTGTAATTTTTGTAATGGAAGGTTCCTGAAAAATGTCGGACAGCCTAGCAGTGCTTCCCCCCTGGCTTCTTACACTGCGTTGCGGCTCTGCTGGGATAGGTATGCTTGACCCCTTTTGACGACTAGCGACTTCATTGCAACGTCGTGAAGGCGGTTTTTTTCCAATCGGGCTGCATTACATCCCAGTCATTGAAGGTTTCTAGATTACTTAACATTCAGGACTCAACTTCGACGTGTATATGAACCGGAGATGCTCTTGACCATCTGCCATCAGTCGACAACTGAACCAGCATACAGTTCCAACAACAACAACCTGGGGACGACGGATCTCATCACTACTTCTCTTCTTCACTGCCTTCGGTTGTCTCAAAATTTACCTAGCATGTCGGTGATTGATGGTCAGCGAGTCCTGTGTTAGTCAGGCGTCTCCAACAAAACTATTTACCTTGAGAGAATGCGGTAGGAACGGGCTGAGGCACAGACGGACTACAGGTGAAACTCTGATGTTGGAACATCATTATCGTTTCTCTACTACTTCACAGTGGGTTACGGATAATGTGTGGATGTGCACATAGTATAAGTCAACTCCTGTTCTCGAGTGTTCTTGTTGAAGCCGAATGCATGACGGGCCCGTCTTCCGCCTCCTCTCTCAGCAAAATCCATTTTCTTCCACAACATGGAGCTTCAAGATGTTTCTGCGAAAAAAAAAAAGAATTGATTCTGCGACTATTCAAACGATCATGTACAACATTCGAGGTTTGTTAAAGTTTTCGAAACGTGGTGTATCTTGCTCCAATCGCCAATCTTGCGGTTGCCGGCTGGGAGCGGCAGGCAGGCGGGCAGGAAGGCAGGTCTTGGTTTACGGAATGCTTCACGTGCGTTGAACTACCGTCTACTTCTGTTTCTTTGCCTGGTTCAAGTATTTGTTTTCTTTTGACGAACACCCGCTTCCCGTGCCTGTATGAATTTTCGTCTTACGCTTTCGTCTCCAGGTATGTCTGTGACAACCTTGGAGAATTGACCGCTTCTCACGACGATGGATCATTTCCAGTCTCAGCATGCATATGTGCCGGAGAACAAATCTCAAAACAGTAAAAAAGAAATATTAAAGCACGTCTGCATGTATAGGTATTCCTGGCATCGCACCACTAGGTTCCTTTGCATCCATCCCTAACGTATTTGAACTCAACACACCTGGCATTTTTCAAACAATCAACTAATCACCAAATCCACAACCGGCAACAACGAGAATGGCACCTACCAAACCATCCAAGGACGACACGCCAACCGACCTTGGCGGACCTTGGTGTGCGCCCGGCACCAAGGAGCAGGAGCGCGAAGTGACAACCCAAACAGCCAAGGTGAAAAGGACCACCACGAAGAAAAATGGTGAGTTGAATCGTAAAGCGAGGAATATAGCGTTGATGATGCGCCCTATCCTCATCCGTTGTTCCCCTGGTTTTCTTAGTCATCTTCTCCTTTTCTTCTTTTTGCTTTCCCTTCCTTCCATGCATGCCAGTTTGTTGACAGCCCTGTTTGAACACCCTTCATAAAGCCTCTTTTTTTTTCAGAGACGAACACAACTTGATGAGTGCCATCGTCTTTTAAACATTCTGCTCTCGACAGTTTTGCTGTTGTCTGTGCCTGCGTCGCGTTTGTCATGCTCCCGGCGTTGTGACATGCCTGCCGAGATTAGCGAAAACTTAATGCTTCTCATTAGTATGGCAAAGCTGTCATGGTGTTTAGCTCACTCCCCATACTTCCGCTTGGATTTCTCACATTCGTGCTTCTCCCTACTTCTCTCAACTTGTCATTGAGGTGTCTCGGCCTTGCTACTTCTTTGCCGAGAGCTTCGAGCTGGTAGCAAACACCGTGCTTTAATGTCCAGCACATCCCGTCTTCCCAGTGTTACCATTTTTTCTTTTCCACGGAGCTAACCAACTAATAGGCAAGCACTTGCCGCGGAAGGAGCAAAGGCGCGACATGGACGTTGATATCGACCAACTCCGTGCCAAGCCCCGCGTCAACTCGTCGATGGCTAAACCCGCAGAAAGTCAAGAAAGACAGGCAAGAGAACATAACTCAACCAGCAAGGTTAGTCTTTAACGAAAGTCGTGGTTGATTGTTCGATGGAAGAACAAGTCTTTAACTAACGCGACTTACAAGGCTGACATTGAGGTTGTGAAGCCTGTCGTGACTGTGAGTGGTCTAAGTGGTTCGAGGTCGCAAGAGGTACATCCCCACAATTTATTTAAATCCGGGAAGCTTTGTAGCCAATCACATCTTTGGATGGCATGCCGCATTTGTGGGGTCAAAGTCTGCAGTTTTGCGCCGGCTCCGTCGCTCCTGCCGGCCGTGACCCGTCCCCCGTGCCGCCCCCGTCCTGTACTGACGGTCGGAACTTAGATCAAAGCAGCGGCCTCGACCAAAACAACACCGCCAATCGCCCGTCCCATCAAAACCGCCAGCACCACCGTTCTGTGCGGGACGCGAGCGCAAAAGCGACTACAAGTACCAAGAAGAGAGACAGAGCGCTTCTTCTTGCGTTAACGAAGCATCGACGACCACAACATCGCGCGCAACAACCAGCAAACGAAGTTCGAAGCGCAGCAACCAGAAATACACGATACCGATACTACACCCGCGACTTCGAGTCCCCAAATACACGCAACGCAACGCAACTATGTCTTCAACATTCACATCCCTCCGTGGCCTAGCCACCCGCCTCTTCGCCGCCGGCGCTCGCCGCCCTTCCCCATCATCCCTCCTCACCAAGCCGGCGGCGCAACAACAGCAACAAACCGCTTGCTACGCCACCAAGGGCAAGTCCGGTCCGCCCGCCGGCATGTTCTCCGGTCAAAAGGCCGGCTCCGCCAAGAAGAAGGGAGGGCCTAAGCAGGTCGACCCGCGCATCATCAACATCCTGCGACACTTTGCCGTGCTGTCGCCCAAGCGCATCCCGCCTCCTTTGAGGTTTGGCCGCAACAGATATCTGCGCCACTGGACGATCCACCGCGGCTGGCTCCTGTTCCGTCGCCAGCTGCGCGAGCAGCGCGAGCGCATTCTCATGCAGCAGTACCAGAGCATGAGCAACGCGTGCGAGGAGCTGCGCAACACCGAGGGCCCCGGAACGAGGGAGGTCGGATACCTGTATCGCGTGGCAATGCTGAAGCAGGGCGTTTATGGATTGAAGTCGGTGCCGATTGAGTATGCTTCTAGGGCGTTGGTGGAGACGCCGGCTAGGCAGGCTTGGAACCATGACTGGAAGCCGTAAACTTGAAGCTGGGAAAATATTGGGGGGATGGATAAGGGAAGGATATGAACAGGATGGAGGGTGGAGGGGGAAGGTTATTTGGTATGGACAAAAGAGACAGTTGTAACAATCTCGTGGAAAAGCAACAAGAAGGATGGAACGGTACGGGACGCTGGACCAAAAGGGGATTTGATGGGTTTGATTGTACGAGTAGGGAAGAGTAGGGATTTTCTATGGATTTGCTACGACTTTGTTTCTCGTCATTTG